TGCCCCCGCTACGGTGGTCACCACGCAGACGGTAAGAAGGTACCACGTACTGCATACAGTACGTACAAGTACACGCAGCCCTGTACTGTAGTACTGCAGTACTGTACTGTAGTACTGCAGTACACAGTACACAGAGGTCGTTTGTGGAGCTGACGCTCGTCCTCGTTGACCTCCCTCAAAACAGGAGCAAAGGTCAAAGTTCTGATCCACATTCTGAGAAAGTTAGAAGTATTTATAAAAATGCACCTACAGAAAATACTACATACATATATAATATAAATATATAAGACTGAATCAGGCGTCTGGTTAACACACACACACACACACACACACGTGAGTTCTGTTGTAAATATAAACTGCAGTTTTATCAACATTTAGTCCTTCATTCTACAGTGGAGAGAGAGCGACTGACCGGCCTGCGGTCCAGATCTGACCAGACGGGAACACAATCATCATCCGACATGTTTTTCTTAGAAAACATGTTGTGACCAAACGTTAACGAACTGAACCTAAAGAATCAAAGGTTTTTCTTCATCGATTATAAATCTGATGATTTTACATTTTTATAAATCGACCTCGTTTCCCAGGAATGTGGTTTGTCGTTCAGTCCTCGGTGTTTGAGAGACACCATTAGAAGAAGAGAGAGAAGAGAAACGGGTGAGGATGGAGAAGGGAGAGAATGGAGAAGGAGAGAGTGAGAAAAGTCAGAGAAGTTTCTGGAATCATCCAGGGAGGAGGACGGAGGTTCAACCACGGACGTGATCACACAGAAAAACATGACTTTCTGGAACTCCTGGTCTGTGTGTGTGTGTGTGTGTGTGTGTGTGTGTGTGTGGGGGGGGTTACGTTGTTTGTGGAGCAGCAGTTACATGGTGAGGAGGGTGAGGGTTAGGGAGACTGCAGCGAGAGGAAGAGGGGGGAGGAGAGGAGGTGAACCAAGATGGAGTATACTTGCCCTTGGTGAACTGATCTGTGTGGATCCATCAGAGAAGGAGACAGCAAGAAAAGAAGGAGGGGGTCGGGGGGGGGGGAGGGATCACAGACAATATTTTATTCAATCACTCTTTGAATAAAAATATTGTTTTCTTGAAAGAAAAAAAACCAAACAATTTCAGTCAAACAGGACGACGAAGAAACAAAGAAGGAAAAAACGAGAAATGAAGTCGTATTTTCAGGAGCAAAAGAAATGAAACAAAATCCAGAAAAGAAAAAAAAAGAGAGAAAAAACAAGAATCATAAAAAAAAGAAAAACTCTGGAACTAAAAAAATAAAATAAATACAGTATTTAAAAAAGAAAAATCAAAACACACAGAGAGGAAACAGAGGATAAACAGACGAGACGTCTCCATTCAGACCCACAGAATCCCAAACTCCCACATTCACCTGCCCTGACCCCGGGGCATTGTGGGAGTTTTTTTCTACTGAATGATTCCAAAGCAGAGAAACACAGAAACAAGTAAAAACTAATTAAATAAACAAACAAACAAACAAACAGACAGACAGACAGAGATTTAAGTGAAATCAAAGTGAAAAGCATGCCTGTTTTCACAGCTTCTTCAAACACGTCTAACACTTGAACACAGACACTTCAGAATCATTTCTTGGTGGAGAAGAGGCGAGAGCATTTGGCAAAAAAAATAATAGCACAGAGGTCACCATTATTTTCACCTGGAAACACAGTTCAACCACAGCTTTCACCTTTCTGTCACTTCACTTCAGTTTTTTTTCTTCAGCCACGTGAAGAAAAAACAGCACAGCATGAAGACAGGAGGGAAGAGAGGGCAGTGGAGGAGGCGGGGCCACTCAGGTATGATCCTGCCTATCAGAGTGGAGATGGACGGGGGGGCGGGGCCAGGAGACTCTGACATCACACTCAGGTGTGATGATGTTGGACGCCCAGAGGACAGAGGGCCGAGTGAGAGTGAGAGGTCATATACGAGGGGAGAGAGAGGTAGAGGGAGAGAGAGAGAGAGAGAGGGGGGGGGGGGGGGGCACGGCGGGGAGGATGCTGGGAGTTCCCTGGTACTTACACTGCACCTGCAGGATCTGGTCACTCAGGTTGGCCTTGATGTGGTTCTCACTGTACGTGGGCAGAACCAGACCTAGACTGAGGCCACAAGGAGAGAATCAATTAATCCTGATTAATCATAATTGTAATTATCCAAAATGTTATAATTCATCACGACTAATCCTGATGAATCCTGATTAATCCTGATCACCATCAGTGGTTTAGACCAGTGAATCCTGTTTGGTTTTCTCTTCAGTTCATTTCACGCAGACGTCAAATCGACTCCAGGTCCAGGACCAGGTCCAGGACCAGGTCCAGGTCCAGGTCTAAAACCTACCTGTAGTCGGTTCCGTCCACGGGCGTCCAGGTGTACGTCCGTACGGCCTCGTCGATGTACCGCTGTCCGACCAAACACAGGAGAACTCAGTCGTCAGTCGTTTCCTCCTCCGACCACAGACCGCCGTCATCACAGTCATTCACATTCATGACATCACTGATGACTCACCTCATCAACCGACTTAATGAGCGTCTTAATTTTCCTCTGTCCTGATCTGCCATCAATCATCTGACGACGGATCTGAAAAGAGAGAGAGAGAGAGAGAGAGAGAGAGAGAGAGGGGGGAGTGGAATGTTAACTATCTTCACATTTCTGACTCTCTGATCAGGTCTTCATGCAGTGGTTCCCAAAACATTTTCTGCAGCGCCCCCTTTGGTAGATACACCCCCCCCACGGTGACACATCTATAGCATCAAATCTAAACTGACATCTCCACGACCCCCACTTTGAGAACCACAGCTTTAACGACAGAACACTTATTGGGATTTTTATTCCTAAAACTACAAACGACTCCACTCAGCTAGAGCTCCCTCTGCTGTCCAGGTTTTTACCTCCTCCTTGTTGTTGTCTTCCAGCTCTGCATCCAGGAAGTCCAGAGTGACCGGCTCCCTGAAGTTAATGATCTGAGGGGCAGCGGGAGGGGGG